AGTAAACGACTGATTCTGAATCTCTTATCAAAGTAGAGGCTATTCTAAGAGCAGAGACTGTTAAGGACAAGAAATTTTATATGCATCAAGTCATTTCTTATACAAAAAATTTAATTGTGTATAGTGATATACATACATAAGAATTAAGTGATTGTTTATAATTAAATTACATGTTTTTAAAACAGCAAGACCTAAAGGAAAACACTGCATTTGCTTTTAACATAAATAGATGACTTCTTTAAGTTTGAAATGAACTTTAAATACTTTAAATTGCATAGCTAAATACAATGGATGACTTGAGAGCATTCTGGGGACTTGATCACTTGAGTCACAGACATTGCTACACATGAATAGTGGGGACAGAACTGCAGATGGACTCAGTCTTTTGGCCAATATTGGGTTGGTTGAGATTTTTTGATACTTAAGCCATAATGAATAAAGTTAAATTCCTCTCCTCTGTAGGTTTTTGTGGCTACTATTTATTTATTTCTACTTACTTAAATTATAGTTATAGTTAGAAAAGGTATCCTGAGATTAGGAAGTATAATTATTTAGGCAGCAAAGAGTTGTTTTAAAAATTTTAGTATCATTAGGAGGAAGTTGAAAAAGACTGGAATTCCATTATCTTGTAAGAAGTAAGAAATATTTATTGATTCCCAAATGGAGCTTAAAAAAAAAACCTTTCCTCTTTTAGGAAGTTGTGAATGACCCAGCGAGAGCTCTAGTAAGCTTTACTGAACCGAGCTGCTAATAGTTATTTAATGTTATTCTTCAGTGGGAAAGAATCTCTGTGGATTTTCCTTTTAATCTCTTTGAATTGTAGGCTCGTAAACCTCTCTGATGAGCCTGCCACTGTTTTCTTAGATCCCACCATTGAGACAATGGAGCCACAGAATTCTTTCACCTCTTGTTGTCAGACAAACCCAATAGAACACAGGATCAGAAGGGCCTTACTTCTAAAGATTTAAAGATTCTTTTTCAAGTAACCACATAAATTATTTGATTTTATCATTATATTGCACAGGAACCTCTTTAACTATAGTGCATTGCTTTCTATATGTAAATAAATTGGGAAATTTTTCATATCCCCATATTTAGTTAATCATGTCAGCACTGCACAGGGTGTGAACAGACATTAAATGTTCCCTGATACCTTCAAAAAAGTTGAATCTATTCACTTCAAAAGAATTAGGCCTTAATCAATAAAGAAAAATATTTTTTTAAAAATTAGGAATCATGTAATGTCATTGATCTCAAGATAGAGTACAAATACCAGGCAATGCGTTTTCTTTCCAGTGGCTGGTTGTTTTTTTATGTGTGTGTTTTTTGTTTTGTTTTGTTGTTATTACCATTCTATAGCTAAGAGTTCAGATTTAAATCTAGCCTCTGTTCCTTTAATTAAAGCACTTTCTAAGTCAATTTATGTTTTCTCAACAATTTTAGTAGTGTCATGTTAACGGGAGAACTTTGAGATAGGATTTATGTTTTCAGATTTAAAATCTTTCATTGTAACAAGCAAAAATATTTATAATATATAATACTCAAAATAAAACAAATTGATCTGTATTGCAGATGCCTTGCCTGATAGACAATTATTAAAGCTAATTACAGGGTTCCTGTTACTTTTAATGGCTAAGGATGAATTAAATTTTCTAATTATAACTACAATGGTGGACAAACAGAGATCATTGTTTAAAAAGAAAAAAAAAGAAAAAACAGGAAGATCCATGGTGGCAGTGGAATAAGTGAAGCTACCCTCATCTTCTCCCAGGACCAAACAGGAATTAAAATTAAAATATAGAGCAGTCAGCCTGAATAACCAGCTGAATAGCTGGATAGAAATCTTATAACCACGGGTTTACAGAAGAAGCCACATTGAGACTGGTAGGAAGGGCACAGCAAAAGAATTAGTCCCACTTCCACGGGCCATGGGCGGTGGCTGAGATTCCAGAATGATTTCTCAGCTGCAAAGAAAGGTTCCCCCTGAGAAGAGTGGAGTCTCAATCCCATGCCAGGCTCCCCAGCCCAGAGCACCAGAGCTGAGAAGAGGTACCCCTATAATATTTGGCTGTGAAAACCCGTGGGCATTCTGTCTGCCAGGGATAGACAGGATTCTGCTAGAAACACAGGTGCCCCTTTAAAGGGCCAAAGCACAAAAATCTCCTTGGCAGCCACTCACTTGGGCTCTTCAGAGAGAGGGTGGAGCAGACTAGAATTGTGAGAGGAGAGACTGGAGTTTGTGGTTCTGAGGAAGTAGTTAGAGGGACAGCCACTAGGATCCCTGAGCTGAGATCTCCCACATACCAGATGCATTCTCTCCTGGGTGGAGCACTCACCTCCACAGGGCACCAGCTTGGAGCAATGCATAGTCCCACCCTCTGGACTCCCTGTTGCCCTACCTTGTGGAGCTTGTGCCCTGCTGAGGAATCAGTTGGCTTGGCTGGGGATGCAGAGGTCTGGCAGATTTGGGCGGGAGCATTCCTCCCACTTTCCCTCTAACCTGACTGACTTCCCCCACACTGTTGCCTCCCCTCACAGGATATCTGCTAGCCCCAATCTCCAGGTTTCCTGTGTCCTAACTCACCCAACTCCTGGTGGCTTTGTCCTGCCTAGGTCTGGGCAGATCCATGACAGAATTGAGTTTTGTGGCTCTGAGGTGAGGCCCTCTCCCTCTACCTTCCCCCAAGCCTGACTGACATCTCCTCCTCACTAGAGATCCACTAGCCCCATCCTCCCAACTCCTGGTGTCCTTGCTCTACTGAGATTCACCTCCTGGCAGAATTGGACAGGTGCCATTTTTCTCTCACAGGCCCGACTGTACAGAGCCCTACCTTCACTCAGCCAAATCTTGGTCTCTTCTGCCTAATAAACTACTGACCTGACCCTCGTGACTCCCTGAGACCCCGCCTCACTACAAAGGTGTGTGAGCACCCAGCTTGAGTATACCCAGGGATGTTTGCTGAGTGGCCTCAGACTCAGCACTGGCAAGGAAGTTGAACCTGTATCAGTGTGGTAAACACCACTCACCCCTACCTGGTCACTCATTAAGAACCTACCTCAAGCAACACAAGTACCAGCAGAGGCGCTTTCAGTAACAGAGCCTAACAGGCAGAGCAGGCAGAGGTGGATTTTGGGGTGCCTTGTTCCCAGCTGACTTGTCCCCAGGCCTGATGATGGTAAAAGCTGGTCTTGGTATGCAGCTTGGTCCTTTGTACACACAGGCCTAACAGGTCCAAACTGTGATTGCTTTGTAACTCCAAACGGGTTAGCCAGGACCAGTCACAGGCAGCATCTGACATTGGCCTGCACTGGAGAGGCCCCAGAACCCAGGCACTGAGTGGCCAGCTTTTGTTTGGAAATTACTTGGCATGTTGATACTCTGCATAAGCTATTCAGTGGGCACACAGAGATAGAGGACGTACCCCTAACCACTAGGCAAAGTCTGTATCTTTGGAATTTAGGTATAGTTTAATAGCCTGTTGATACCCAATAAGATGTGAAGTGATACAATATTTGACGTACCTAATAGAAAACTATGGTGAGTTCAAAATATTGTATAATCTCTTTACCTATTTTAAACTTGTATAACTCACTAATAAATTTTGAACAGGCAGTTATTAAATATAATTAAATTGCTGGCATTCACACAACAGAACAAAGGGAAGTATTCTCAGCAAGTGAACAAGAGACTAGGGAGATAGCTAAAGAAAATTTCATTGAGGTGGAGGGTGGATTTCTGTTAAGTGTTTACTTTTAGAAGAACCATACTAGGAACTATGTGACTTGCCTTTAAAGGAAAGCCTAGTGCTTCTCATTGCTAGGTGCTTTCTTTGTCAGAAAATACACTGATTGTAAACAAGAGTGCATGTTTATACTATCTGGACTGTACTCTTGCTAAACTTAGTTGGAATTCCAGTTTTCTTTTCCATCTACAGGGAAAACTTTGGCCCAGGAAACATCAAGAAAACAGCAACACAATACAGTTGTATTTTATAATTACTGAAATAATGTAAAGTAATTCTTCCTTTAAGTTACTTATTTAAGTTATTACTCTGTTGCAAACAAATAAAAATCTGATGACTATTAGCCCATTTTAAAGTACTTTTAGCTGGGTCTGATTTTATTGTTACACCCTTGTATTAGTCTATTCCATATTCTATAGATTTGGTGGCTTAAACAACATAAATGCATTTCTCACAGGCCTGGAGGCTAGGAAGTCCAAGATCAGGGTGCCAGTTGAAGTGATTCCTGGTAAGGTCTCCTGGCTTGTGGACAGCCTCTTGCTAGCTGAGTCCTCCTATGATACTTTTTGTGGTGCATGCATATGGAGAGACCTCTATTTCCCTTATAAGGCCACCAGTTCTGACAGGTTGGGACCCCCTACTCTTTCTGCCACACTGAACCTTAATTACCTCCTAAGATATTCTTGTCTCTAAATACAGTGACGTTGGGGGTTAGAGTTTCAGCATATGAATTTTATTTGGGGAGGGAGGGATGTGTGTGTCTCATAATTCAGTCCATAACTACCAAACTCCTAAAGTAGATAAGAAAGAGATAACTCAATATATAGGGGTAGAAAGCTACTAAAATATTAGAACTAAGATTCAAATACAGTGTTTTTATTCATCTCCATGTTGCCTACCTTAGTTACAGATATAGTTTATCTGACAACAACAACAACAACAACAACAAAAAACTAACCTCTGACAAAATATAGCAATCACTAATTTATCCTGAGGGATCATCAAAATCAACTACAGAGTTTTGCATGTTGCATATTTGTGAAAAATTTGTGGTAGACTTTGTTAAAGTTTATAAGTGGTATGGTCTGGAATGTTTAGTCAGCTGAAGTCAGGTAGCCTTAAAATTGCTGCCAGTTTGTAAGGTAAAATTTAAAATGGTAAGTACAATAAATTAGAATTATAGTGATCAGGCTGGAGTTGCGTTTTTAGCACTCTTCATAGCTGTCAAAATTAAGTGTCTCGTTTTATATTTTACAGAAGATGATCTAAGAAATATGGGACCAGTAGATGCCCAAGTATATCTTGAAGAAATGTCTTGGAACAAAGGTGGGAATTTATTTTCTCTTTTGACTGTAGTAAAGGAAAATATTAGAAAATTTCTGTAATAAAATAAAAACTCTATGGGATATTTGGAATCTTAAAAAGAAATAATAGCTTGGCTTTTGATACATATGTTTTTGTCTTGAATAGTTTTGCTTCATTCTAAACTTCAGTTATTGTTGTCCCCCTGTATGACTCATTCCTACTTATTTTTCTATTCTAATTAGAGGTTACTTATATAAGATTTCATAAGGTTTTCTTTTTTTAAAACTACTTTGGTTTTTGGTTTATTCTCCATCTGTGTAATGGAAAAATAGTTAAAGAAGATAATTTTCCTACCCTTTCTATGCTGACATTCTAGGTGCATTCCCCTTAGAATTTTTGTTTGTTTATCATAAATTATCAGGGCAGGCCTTTCAATGTTATATTTTTCAACTTGGAGCTTGATTTTATACTTTTTTGTCTGAAGCAGAAAATAAAAATCAGTCACTGTCTTTTACTCACCATGAAGTCATGTCTTTTTCACTTTCCTATTACTAGAATTTTAATAGTTAAATCTAATTTCTCCACTCTGATATTTCTGTGAGTTGCTCAGGGAGACATTGTTGGGTTTCTTTCCTAAATGAAGACCTTGAATACCATACTTCCATATTTCTCTGGTCCAGTGAAGATAATCTTACCATTTCCCTGAATTTGTATATACTTTTAACCCTATAATTTTATTGTTCAGCCTGGCATACAAATCCCTTAGGGACTTATAAAATTTACTAAGTGTGAATAGGTAGAATATAAACACCCCATTCTTCCTGAAAACAAGTTTAATGAACTATTTTTTAATGGCAAATTCTTCATGTAGTGCTCTCAGAAGTTGGGTCGCAAGCCATATTGACTCAGAAGATCATGTTTTTGCCTTTGGGCCACTCTGCTCCTATAATGCCAAATGAGGTCCTGGAGTAGAAATTCTTATTTGTAGGGAATGATTAGAAAACAAGGTTTTGTGTAACTGGGGCTCCCAGAAGTTCACATAGTTTCATCAGCGTAAACTGGGAGAGCTATTGCTATGAAGATAGAATACACTAGTGACATAGGCTTTCACTTCTAGATCATGAGCCCAACAGAATTGAACATGTCACTTATCAGGGAGACCTGCCCAGCTAAATAAATCTTCTGGAAATATAGTATTGCTACTTTATCAATCAGTGTGTGTGTGTGTGTGTGTGTGTGTGTGTGTGTGTGTGTTTGAATCTTTCATTAGACAAATCTCTTCTTGCTGTGGTCTATGTAACTAGTATATTTTGTTTACAGTTCCTGATAATGTGAAAATGGTGTAAACTGGGTTTTGTAGTTTTTCTTTCTTCAGTAACATTTAAAAATATAATTAATAGTTTAACATTTTTTTAAAAGTAAGAATATGGGCTGGGTGTCCAAGCATCTGTTAGTCCACGAATATATGAACTTTCTGATACAAGTGAAAATGCCGAAAATTTGGACACTCAAGATTTAGTATGGAAAAGTGGATGAAATGCTACACGATAGACATGGCCAAATTATCAGCTTCTTGGCCCAAGGACAGTTTGAAATGGCGTATTTTATTATGCTTAAAAGGCATACCTGAAGAACTCTTGAGGGACTAAAGTTTTAACCTTTCCCCCTTATAGTTAATTTCATATATAACTTGGTTATTTTGTCTTTATTCATGATATTTAAAATGATTATTTTGGTGAAGTTATCACTTTATTAAGTGATAGAAGAACATATTGGAAGAAAGTTGACAAGATTTGAGTGTTTAGTAAGCATTAACATTTGGAATCATCTATGACAAAACTCCACAGTAGCCCAGGGTGGCCTCTGCATCATTTACCATGCACGTCACCTCAAATTGTTTTTCATTGTTCACTGAGGTGATAAAAAAAAAAGGGGGGGTGGGGGGTGGGAGATGTAGCTTAAGAAAACCAATGGCTAGAATATGCACATTTTACACAATTTAATAATAAAACAATTAACTATGAAAGCATGCTCCACTACATATGTATGTTGGCTCAGATGGAGGATGTTAGCATTTTTAAATTCCAGATTAAATTATATTTTCTTGTTGGGGGAAAAGGCATTGTGGTAAAAAGTAAAAAGCAGGGCTGGTGAATGAATCCATGTTTTCCTTAATGATAAAAGAAACACATAAAGTTGGTTCATTTAATTACTAGTTTCTCCAAGTCCAGACTTTATTAGAGAAAAACAAGGCAGTCGAATTTTTTTTTCCCTTCTTTCTCTTCTTTTAGTGGCATATATTGATATCAAACTGTTAAAAAATGAAATTTGAGAACTGAATGAAGAAATCATATCTTAGTTCAATTATCTATGTAACAAATTATGACAGTAGTAAAATAATAATTGTTTTTCTTTGACAGCCACTTCTCAGTGATAGTTAAATTGAATGACCAGTAAATTAGGAATTCTTTTAGTTAAGGGACATAGCATTTCAGCTTCTCAGGAAAATTACAGACTTGATAAAATTTCCTTAGGCTACACATCACCCTATGTTGTTTTCTTTGGGCATCTCACTTCAGTGGTTGCCCTTTGGCTCACAAACCATTTGTAAACACCAAACAAACAGATACACACACAGAAAAAACATACCATATTGTGTGTTTATATTTTTGAGTCAGGACTCTTAAAATAGTATGATACCAGAACAGATATATTCAAATATTGAATTTGATACAGTCAAATTAGCAGTTTTTTTTCCTAAAAGGATATACTCCAGGCAAAAGCAAGTTCTTTAACAAGACAGGTAGAGTTGTTGTTTCTCCTATACAGTTATATTTTGTACAAACACATTATTGAGAATAATGTGAAATTTGTATGAATCTTAAGAAAACAGACTTCAAATAAATTTTATGGGTTGCTTCTGAGCATCAGCTTTCACCCCAAGATCTTTGGACTACTGATTTATAGCTTCAGTCCATCTCCTTTACAGAGATTCTTTGGGTGAATCATTTTTAGAAACACTGCCCCTGCCTATATAAGAAATATTTTCAAGTTCTCATTTAATACATTTTACATTTACTGAGCTTATTTTGTTTTGCAGTTTCTGTGGAATAAACCACATTGTGTGTGTTTGTGTTGTCAGTGTAGTTACTTATAAGCATTTTTCTGTTTTCTCTGCAGATGATCACTCTTACTCTCTGAGTTGCCGTTGTGGTGGAAAATACAGTGTTTCCAAGGATGAAGCCGAAGAAGTTACCCTGATTTCTTGTGATACATGTTCACTAATTATAGAACTCCTCCATTGTAGCTGAAATTGTTCACTAAATAGACCCTTAACTGTATATTCAGACATGTTAAGGAAAGTCCATTCCAACTTTATACATTCAAGCAACTGTAAAGCTGATAAAAAAAAGGAAACTTTGTCAGCTCTATTATTTGCAAAGAAAATGTAAGCTTGTCAAGCAAAGTCTAACCCACATTAATAGAAAATAAATTTAGCTCTGTATATGTTTACTAGAGACCTGGTGCACAAAATTCGTGCCTAGGTAGGCCTCTAGGCCTGGCCAGCGATCAGGGCCAATCTGTGGAGCGACTGGCAGGGCAATCGGGGAGGTGGGGGCCTGGTGGCACCCACCTGGCTGGCCTGGGGCCTGGTGAGTTGGGGGCAGCTCCTGCACATCATAGCGACTGGTCGTTCCACTGTTCATTTGATTTGTATTTTAGGCTTTTATTATATAGGATAATTTATAGATTGCCAAAAAAAGAGACTTGAATTATAAGTTATTTATAGAAAATTCCTATTTGAGAACTTTATATCTCCTCTTTTAATGGGTCACAATATCATCATATTCCTTTATAGTTACTAAGTTTCTGAGGTAACATGACATTTCTTGCTGTCAAAGTTGTAGGTCTATTGTAGAACTATTTTCAAATCTCAGGTCATTAGAGTTAAATTACAATCTGTGTGAATAATATGTGAGCCTAGTTCTCCCAACTTGAAGACTGACTATGGATTATTCATGAGGTTATTTCAAAGTTAATAAGGAAGACAAAGTTGGGACTGCAGAAGGAGGAATAGCTTTGGAGAAAATGACTTCAGTCCTGCCACTGTATTTCCAAAGCCTTCAAGTGATTGTATTAAAGGGAGTAAGGTTCTTGATCGCTGCCATCTTCACCTTTAAATATAATTTAGGAAATGGTAGCTTTAGAAAAAAAATTGAAACAAATGCATTACTTTCTTGTTTCAGAGTGCTAAAATACAGTATGAATGCCTATATTTAGGAATAAGGAACCAATGCACTGCTAGTGTAATGAAATGGGCTTTTATAATGTATCATTATTGATTATAGTAAACTGTAAAGATTTTATTTTTCTATATATTTAACATTCTATGTACAGTGTAATTCAGAAACAATATGAATTTTATTTGAAAATGTATCCTTTATAGGGTCACTAAAACTTTAAATATATACATATATATTTTTCAGTAATTTTTTATTTCAGAGAAGAAGGGAGAGAGAGAGAGAGAAACATCAATGATGAGAGAGAATCATTGATCAGCTGCCTCCTGCACACCTCCCACCAGGGATTGAGCCAGCAACCTGGGATGTGCCTTGACCGGGCATCCTATTGGATCATAGGTCAACGCTCAACCACTGAACTACACTGGCCGGGCTGAAACTATTTTCAAATGAGTGAACCAAGATTGTGACTTAGCAGCTTTTTATTAGGTTGAATCTTTGCATTTATTGTTGGTTTGGATTTATAAGACTAGTTTCTACTTTAATTTTGTAAACATAGCTAACAAAAAAATAAAATACAATAAAAAATAATTGTAGCTAACGTATGAAGTACATTCATGGAGTTTTTTTTTTTTTTTATTATTGTACCTAGAAAACTAAAAATTCAAAAGTGAGGTTGTCATCCAGGTTTCCTCCCTAAAAATATTTTTACATATGTCATAAACTTTAGATGGTTTATTTTGGATTACGCTTACCCGTATATTTTGAATTAATGTAGCTTGCAGATTGCTTGTTATTCTTTACATGTAAAAATTAAACATAACAAACTGAATAGCAAATAGTTTATTAGTAAGTACATGGTTTCAGTGGCAATAATAACTTCACTTAAACAGGAGGCAATAATCAAATCAAAAGAATAAGTGTTGGCTAATCATCAGAAAATCTGTGGCCGTTCGGGCTATCACGTAGAAATCCAAAATCACTCAGAGGCCAAATCTGTAAAATCAAAATTGATTGAAGGCAATTAATGAAAGTGATATTATATCATCATATTCCTTTTCATTCTTTTTCTCTGCCATATAACTAAACACTTTCTCTGTATTCTTCATTCAAGAACCAATTCCTACATCAAAATAAGACTTTAGGAAGTAAATTTATATGTGTCTATGTGTTTAAACTCTTACATGGGTTTGAACTGCATGGGTCCAATTACAGATTTTTTTTTTTCCAATAAATATACAGTTACCCTCCATGTGCCTGGGTTTCATATCCATGGATTTAGCTAACAACAGATTAAAAACATTATTTTCCATCCATGATTGGGAATCTGTTGAAGCAGAGGGCCAACTGTATGCATTGTTCTATGTGACTTTACATAAGGGACTTGAGCATCCACAGATATTGTTATCTGAGGGCTTTCTTGGGACAAATTCCAAATACTATAAGTTTTGGAGGAGTTAAAAGTTATATGTAGGTCAGTGCCCCAACCCCTGAGCTGTTTAAGGGTCAATTGTATATACGTGTGAGTGTGAGCATGTGTGTCTGCATTTTCTTTTACTACCCTCATAGTTAACTAAACATAAATACTTGAATATATGCTTAAATGTAAAGAATTATGTAAATTACCCCCAACTATTCCTGTATATTTCCCCCCTTACTAATTGTGAGAAAATAGAGGAGCCAGTGAAAACAACAATCTTCCCTAGGAATCATAAATTTACTACAACCATGATAAGTCCATTTCTCACTGTACTTAACTAGGATATCCCTGCACTGCAGATATTTTGAATCTAGACTGCTCTTCAGTAAGTGCATATTAATATAGAGTATCCCCACAAAATGTATATACATACTTTGAATAATTTTAAAGGCAGTGTTTATTAACATGCATTTCATTTTCAAAACTGAGCTATCAGCTGTTAAAGTGTTTATACAATTTTTGGGGACATGCTGTATATTCCCAGGATATTAACATGGTGGTAAAAGTAGAAAGAAAATTTTGAATGTTCAAATTAAAGGCTTTTTATGCTACAAACAAAGGTAGTTAGTTTTAATTATTTAAACAAAAATATTCTCAATTACCTGTCTCAATGGGGGGAAGGAGCAATGTTTATAGGTATGAAGGCTAACATTTCCATTGCTGTTACTGTAACAGGTAAGACCACTAACAGCCTGAAGAGCTCAGAGTTCATTTTGAAAGAAAATGTTTTTTTACCCTCCAGCTCAGAGAAGAAGGCCTACATTTTAAGTAGAAAACAGTACCTTAAAGAAGATTCGTCCTCTTATTAGTCCATATGGAATAGGTCCATAGTACCTAGAATCTGTAGAATTCTGTAGATTATCACCTTCTAACCAAACATGGCCCGTTGGCACCTGGAATTAGAGAAGAAAGCAGCCCCTTTAAAAACAAAAAACAAAGACAAATTTGGGTGCTGTCAATAAAAGGTGTCTTGTGCAGATAGAGAAAAATGTCCTGAAGTTGTCTTTTTATAAAATACATATAAACCCTATGATTTCATTTTCAAACAATAAAATAACTTTTATTCATTAGTAATAATGTTTTAACTTTATTTTTTAATATATTTATATTGATTTCAGAAAGAAAGGGAAAGATAGAAACATCAATGATGAGAGAATCACTGATCAGCTGTCTCCAGCACACCCCACATGTGATTGAGCCCACAACCCAGGCATATGTCCTGACGGATTAGAACTGTGACCACCTGGTTCATAAATCGACAACTCAACCACTGAACTACACTGGCAGGACAGATTTCAACTTTTAAATGCCTTTTTTGCCACATGGTTCCCCAAAATTAATTTGTTATACAAACCCCAGACTGAGGTTATAAGAGATCAAAACAGTGTGACAGGGTCATTAATTTAATAGACTTCAAAAGAGGTCATTAGGATGCTGATTGAAAATGTGTCCCCTCTCAGTAACAGCATAAACAGGGTAGCTACTTATTCAGCAACATCCTGGGGCCAATAGCAAGGCCAGACTTATTAGAATGCTCATGATGAACTAAATGGTAATTGATTGTGACATCAATTACAAATAATCTCATCATTTTATTGGAGTGGACTTGTCAGAATTCTAATTAAGATCCTTGTTCTGCCTTGTACAGGCCATATCTTCAATGCATTATACTTCAATAATGACCATAAAGACCCAGAAGGACCTATTATAAAACCATGAGTTGTAAAATTAATGATGGTGACCCTCTACTAAAATAAAAGACCCTAGTTCCTATATGTCCTGTGTATTAACTGGTTAACTGGTAAGTAACATAAGCCTAAATTTTTACTCGATGACAATCATAAATATATTCAGAACAGAAAATGTTTCTTTTAAAAAAAAACAAGGCCTCTTTGATATGACTCATTTGCCCATTAATATCTGTTCAACATAAACTTAAAAAAAAAATTACTCCCCAGCAACAATCCTCTTTTGGAATGACCAAGTTACTATCACTAACATGAAAATTCAAGCCAAATAAGAAGAAAAGTTCTGCAGCAATAATATGAGTAGATTAAAATATATTTTATATGGAAGTTTAAAAAAGCTTTTATAACTTTCCAACTAAAGTAAAACAGGACTTCAATAAATGCATTTGTAATACATGTTTTGCAAATGGCCAAAAATGGAAATCCCTAATTACATGTTTTCATTACTTCTCATAACCAAAACTTTTAGTAATTAGGTGCTTTTCCTTTTAATACTTTTGTAAATCTGTCAAGGTAACTTGAATGACTACATGAGCCTAAGAATATAAATATCCTAGGTATAGATATATCTTGTTTCCCCAAAAATAAGACATCCTCCGAAAATAAGACCTAGCGCATGGAAAAATAAGACATCCCCTGAAAATAAGATCTAGCACATCTTTGGGAGCAAAAATTAATATAAGACACCGTCTTATTTTCGAGGAAACAGGGTAGTTTTACAATGAATGTCACATAAAACATTTTACTTTTGTTCAAATCTGAATTTTCCAAGGTCTTAGACACAGCTAACTTTAGGGCTAAATTTTAAATCAAAAGAACCTTTAGATTATTCTTGTTTTTCCTTACTACATCAGAGGTTTTCTTCCTCAGCTCTGAGAAAGCTTAATCTCAGGACTGGACAAAAGAATCTAGCCTCTAGTTCTCAGCTATACTTACTGAGGTCCAGTTAAGTGCCTCTTTTAGTACAGGCAACAAATGTAATTGCCTCATGGCCTGCGGGTGTCCCTTTAACAAAAGTGGCTTTAGTGAACCAACTCACAGGTGTTACCTTTCCTGATTCAGGTGAAATCTGATGAAAGAGTCCACAATATCAAATAACATGTTTACTAAACTATAGTCAAAGTAATTTATTTGATTAAGCAAAAACTAATTAAGTAAAAGTTCTGACTGCAGAATAAGATATTTGTAATTCTGACTTTCCAAAAAGAAGAAAAGCCTAATAAAAACTTTGATTTTTAATTAACTCTTTGCCAAATGTTTTAGAATTTACAAACAGCAAAGGTAAGGGTGGGGATTGGCCCTATTATTGCTTATGCCACTTTAATGGTTCTTAAATAACTGAAAAGGAAACAATAGTTTATTTTTTATTAAAGACACAAAATAACTTTAATAGTTTTTAAAAATAAAGGCAAGGAGAGGGACAAAGTTTTTGGAATCTTTTTTTGACATGATTATTTTTTCTTTATCCTCAATTATACAGGAAAAGGAGAGGCATACACGTTTTATAAAACAATCAGAAAACATTTTTTCTTTTGGGTAAAGACAAACAGGATAGTTTCTTTGCCCAGGAAAAGAAGTCCATATAATGAATGTACATTCATGTCATTTTAATTTAATAATTAATACCCAAGTAATTGGTTTTTATGTTACCATCTTTCAGGTAAGCAGGAGCATGTCAAATTACCCCTACCGCTATGTGGCTAATGCATATTCTGCTTAATGATGACATATACCCCAAAGTTAGCGGGGTGGCAGAGAAGGCTGCAGGAAGCCCTATTCTTGCAGGAATCTTCCTGCAATGGGCCTCTAGTCCTATATAATAAAAGGCTAATAAGCAAACTGTCCCCTCAATCAGGAGTTAGACCAGCAGGCAGGCCGGCTAACCGTCCATGTCCCCTCCCCCTGGCCAGGCTGGCTGGACCCCACCCATGCACGAATTCATGCACCAGCCTCTAATACACATGTGTGTGCGTGCACACACACACACACACACACACACACACACACACACACACTGAGTGGCCAGATTATTATGTGTTCAAAAATCATAATAATCTGGCCACTCTGTAACTGCCCCAGCTGCTGGTATGAATGATGTCTTCTGGGCTTTTTTCTTTGTTCCTGATATTCCTATGCAGTCTACTCAGAAATTTTCCAGGTGAACTGTGCTTTGTAATTTATTTCAGTTATATTTTGTTATTTATACTGTATTCAATTACATAGGTCTGGTAGGAGCCAAGACTGTGAATTGAATACAATATAATTTAAAATGTACTTAATTGTGAATAGCTGTCATTTTATTTATATTAAATGATTTGGTGAAATTCAGTTTTAAGACCAAATCATCAAAATGTTAGTACTAAAGATTAACATTTTTATTCTTTTAATAGGGGTCTTCATCAAGCAATGTTTATCAAATAACAAATGCACTGGCTCTCTCTTATGCAGCATTCACTTATTCAGAACTGTCTACCAACAAGTCACAAGGTGAGAGGAAGGGGAATAGGACTGGAAATGCAGCCAGTAATTATGTCCTTCCATACTAGCCAACTGAATCTAATGCCCCATTCCTACAGAATTTTTCCCCTACGACAATGGATTATTTTGCTTTATGATTTCTTTTCTTGTTCTATTTATAAAACAATGTTACATGGGCCGTTTTTAGAGTAGTATTTAAAAGAAGCATCTTTTGTAGCCTTATTTCAAGACTGTATCTGTATTTCCATTGTAATATAGACTCATGTATAATCTGGTTCTCATATTCTAAAAGAAGACCTAACTTAATGAAATACTAGGTTTTAAGGTACATAAAATAGAAACATGCTAAGCATATAAATAATGAGTTTTCCCAGGCATGCCTGCTTTTATATGTTATTTCTCTGTTCCATTCTTATTTTAGGTAGAGAATAGTTTACTAGAATGAGAATGCTTTTATGGACAAAGATTAAATGGGTCACAGAAACCTACAGAATTTTAATTACCCAGAGTGGTAACACAGAACTTCATTTAGTTGTTTATTTCAAAAGATATCTGAACATATTACACCTACTCAACGGTAACTGTCCAGCAGACCACTCTATATCATTGGGAAGCCACATGACCTTTGGAATATATTCTTTTGACTCCCAGTTATCAGAGTTAGAGTCTGCTTAACATGCTGACATTGAACATCAGTGTTACAATTTCTGTCTCAATTTTTCCCAATTACTTTTAGGAAACCTTAAAGTATAGAAGTCTTTTATAACTTGCAGATAAAAGTACATATAATATTTGCATTTCACAGAATTGCACAACTGCCCCCCTATATTCACTCCAATGGAAGGGTTTTCCAACTTTGAGCTGGAAACTCAAACCAACTGTGAGTAGTTACAATAAAATATTTTTAGATGAGCAAAACACATTAGTTTCAGGAAGACGTGCTAATCTCTCAGTAGAATCATCAATCATATATAATATATATATATATATATATATATATCACATATGTACATATTCTCAAACATGTAAGGGAAAATACAATTTTATAATATAAAATTCTATAAACTACATATTGTTGAAGATCAAATTATTCTGAAAATGTTCAGAGAACACATCAGAAAATGCTTAAGTTGTGGGGGCCGCAGAAGAGAAGAAAAACACCTCAGAATTGTAAACAAGAAGTCAAATTTATCTTCAGAATCCTGTTAACTATAGGATGAAAAAGTCACGTAATCTCTGCAGTCAACTTCACTTTAGCAGAAGAGTAAACATATTTCCTCCACATCAGCTGCAATCAGGACATTAACAGGATGCCATGATTGATTAACCTGGGAACCGTTGCTGAGAAATGGATGTGTAGCACAGGTTTTTATCACTATCGTCTGCAAAAAGCAAGTCCCTTGTTTAGCAATCCTTGTTATAATAAGTGACGTTATTAGGTAGTTCTTCTATTTAAGTGACATAAGGATTTAGTGTATCAGCTTATAAAGCTTATAATAAACAAGCTTTCAATCTCATGATTCCTCTCCCTACATAGAAGTACTTTTTCTGTTTATAAGTGGTAATTGAAGGCCATATGGTTGTGACTTTTAGTTGAAGTAAATGACATTTAAACAAACAGAAAAACAGCATAAGGATATTCAAGGATTTGAACTATGACCTACTAGTAAATACACAGTGCATATTAATAGGCTGTTAGTATTAACTATATAAAGTGATCATTTTATTTAAAAAAAAAACCCTGAATTTATTAGGGTGACTTTGCTTAATTCAATTATATGTTTCAGGAGTACAATTCTATAATACATCATCTGTACATTATATTGTATAATCACCACCCCAAGTCAAGTCTCCTTCCATCACCATCTATCCACCCCAGTGACTATTTTCTAATGCTGTCAAATTAGTGAGCTTGTTTTTCACTTTGTTAATCAGTTTTCAAATACATTATTACACAGCTTTATTACTGGCATATTGTCCCATTTCCAAGTGTTCTTTTTCAGAACACTCTAGTACCTGTGCATCCTGGGAACATTTAATCAGTATTTTTTTTTTTCGGAAATGTGAAACTCTCTCTCTTTCTTATGTTTCTGCCAATAACAATAATGATGTTATTAGCATACTATATAATACAAAAAAAAAAGTAAGAAATACTACATTCCTTATATGTACCATAATTCTGTGGTAACAAACTAACATTTGGTAAAAAATATTTCACCTTTTGTGTATAACACTGGAATATATGGTATCAAGAACCAAAAAGCTTTAAATAGTCTGACATTTTGATAGGTTGGTAATGAAAGTAAAAATGCACACTCTAATAACTACAAATATGTTTTCTTTAGCAAAAAATTGTTATGATCTAACTATAGGGACATACTGAAATCTTCATAATCATATTTCTATTACCGTGTTTCCCCGAAAATAAGACATCCCCTGAAAATAAGACCTAGCACAACTTTGGGAGAAAAAATTAATATAAGACACTGTCTTATTTTCGGGGAAACAGGGTAGTGTTTCCATTTTCAATACAGAGTGGATGCTATGGTTGAAAAACTGAAATTCAATAAAATTTTAATTTTGGAAGATTTAAAAATCAATTATTCATTTTACAGTGAACAAACCACTCAAAGTTAACACTCAAAGTAGTAATTTACCAACTACAATGAACAACTTTACCCACTGCTAATTTGCCAACCAACAAAGGATCAAAATAACAAAATACCTCTATAGTAGTTAATAATGTCCAAAGGCACATGCATTTCTATTGAAATGTAGACAACTCTCATTAGCTCACAATGTAGTTAGTAGGTGCTACAATGGCAACTTAGCCTTCATCATAACAAAACCACCATAGCATTTCTGAGAACCAAACCTTCCCTTAAAATAAGAGCAAGATAGGCCAATTTTACTTTTCCTTTGAATGATTTAGTTCACTATTCTAAACTGATAGGTGAGTTCAAAACCAAGTGAATTTTTAGTCTGCTTAGTAAAAAGGGCTGGAAAGTATCATTCACTCCAAATAGAAGTCAATTGGGGAAACACACATTAGTCAGCACTCTGCTGTCTTGACTCAAAGTAACAGGGACATGCCAGTATTTCCTACAACTTTTACTTGTGATTCTGGAAGGTGGTCAGATAGCCCTACCATGGAAGAAGCTTATATTTCAAATCTTCTTTGAAGACTAGAATAACCACTGGATAACCTCAGAAAGATTTTTCTTCGTCTCTTTATTAGCTTTCATAATAAAATTTTACTACATTTCCTAAGTCCTGGCCAAAATCCCCTACCTTAAATAGGCTTTTACTTTGCCTAACATGCAAATCAATAGGACCATGCCAATTCATTTTATATACAGTATTTCTAATTTGCTTAATGCTTCTCCTTGCAGCTAATTATTTTTGGCAAACAAAGGTTCTAGCAGTAAACTGAGAAATTGGTAAGTTATTTAAGATGTTTTAGCTAAGTACAATTTGTTTCTTTTGAGAGTCACAAATTAAGCTTATATCTTACCTAATATTGCAAAACCCACTGCAATAGGACCTTGATAGGGACTACTTAGTTTCCAAATGCTTAATGTAAAAAATAAATCATAGTTCCTAAGTGTTGCTTGTCACATGAACTTTTAGAACTCTGAAATGAATAAAATGGTTCCACTTCACTTAACCAATGATCTGTTTATATTATTTTATGCCAACTTGGGAACAATGCTATTCTTTCATATGCTAAACTATATTCTAGGTTCCAAATGACAATTTTGGTGTTTTGCTCTCTGAGGCATAGAGAATAAATGTTTTTTTGCCTGAAATTCAAAACATTTTTAATATTCATCATCTTTACCATGTAGTTCAATAAAGATCTGAATACTAATGTCTTCATCTAATAAACAATAATTTTTCTAAGAGGATGCATAAGTAGGGGAAGAAACCCACTTCATACAACACAGCACCAGTGTGCTTTTGAGATAGCTGGAAAAGGCAACACTCTAGAGAGGCAGACCCTGCAAACAGTTTGGATATCTCTTCAGAGTGCTCCAAACTTGGATGATTTTTTTGTAATAAATCACCTTGATTAATGGAACACATTTGCTAAAGTGGTTCTGTAATAGCTACACAATTCTTATGGCTTGAAAAATTCAGCCTAGAAAAACTGGTGGGGGTGAGAAAACCTTCACAATTCACTGGCTTCTCTTTCAGAATCAATACTGCCCCTGACCAAAAACAGTTCCTTTTCTTTTTAAAAATAATAATTTTAAGGAAAACAATACATTTTAAGGAAAGTACAATTTGGTGAAATGGGAGTAGAAATAAACAAGTAGAGGACAGTTTGGGAGGAGAAGTTGTAGCGTGTCAAGGCATCCAGATTCTAGGTGGAGCCAGGCTACTTGTGTTTGAATCCCAACTATTGTCCGACAAACTGGGCAATTTATTTAACCACCCTGTTTTTAGTTTTTCCATCTGTCAATTACTACCACTCCTATCTCACTGGGTTGCTTTTGTAATGATTAAATAAATTAACCCTTGTAAAAGAGTTTCAACAGTGTATGGTACAGATTAAATACGTAAGTGTTGGCCAGTATTATTACAATTACGTATGTTTGTACATTTAGAAACATACAAACCAAAGTGAATGGAATACACCAGGAACTATATACCAGTGTCCTCTTACTAATCCATTCATCAAACATAAAAATTTGATGAATGTTTTCTTTAAATAGAATATTCACACACAAAAACTATATCTTATAGTCCTCTTTTCTGATTAGCAGATTTTTATCTAAATCCTTTTGTCCTGATACAACTCTGATAACTCAAAAAGAAAACAACAATGGTGTGGTATTTAAGTACACAGATGCTGGATAGTAACATTAATATGTTTTATTGTTCTGACTGCAAACTATTTCTGGTTTCAAATTTATCGCAATTCAGAAGTGATTACAATCCTCATGCAATGATAACAGTCATATGAAGGTACAACCATTATGTAAAAATCTGACATTTTTTAAGAATAAAGGGATACAGTGTATAGTGCCCCTTATAAAGTCCTCAAAGAAAAATAGGTTACCTTATACCATACTATCTTCAACATTATTATCACCATCAGCTAACAATCACTAGAGTGTTTAACATTATAGTAATAAACATCAAAAATGTTTGAACAGCTGAACCTAGTCTATTGTGGATGGTAAATAAATGAGCTTATTTTGTAATAGTCAATTGATCAAACTTACTCATGGAGCAGACAGAGGCCATTATAGTTTAAAATAAATCTACAATAATGAAGACAATTTAACTCTTAATACCACGCTTACATTGGGGATAAAGATAGAGGTAAAGTTAATAGATGTAACAGCTATATAACTTGAGAGTGACAGAAATTTTAAATTAAAGTAGGAATTAAGTTATAATTATTAAGGTAGGAAAATTATATGCTGAGTAAAGTAAAGCCACCCTCCTCTGCCATAAGCTGTCATATCAGCCATGTGATTGGTGAAAGGAGGTAACACTTTACACATGCTCCTCACTCTTCCTTTCTACAGCTCTTGCTCTTTCTAACTGTTAAAAAGTACATGTAATTTATATTCTAAAAACAAATAGGATTTTAAAAAGCTAAACTATAGGATTTATTTGATTTTTACCAGCATTTCCTTAAGTTAGTTGAAAATTTTTCTGAGCCAGGAACCCAGACCACATTGAGTTGTCACATCTCCTTTGTCTTCTCCCATCTATCACAATTCCTGTCTTTCCTTGTTTTTCATGACCTTAACATTTTAGAGTATTTGTCAATATTGTTGCAGAATTACCCTCTCTGCTGTTTTCTCATGATTAGACTGAGGTTATACCCTTTTACAAGAATACCACAAAACTGATGGGCCGCTTCTCAGTTCAATTCAGGGGCTACACCATGTTGATCTGTCTTGTAATTGGTGAAGTGAACCTTGATCACTCAGTAAAAGTGGTGACTGCCAAGGCCTCCTCTATGAAGTTACTATTTTTCCCTTTGTAATAAATATCTTAGGAGAGATACTTTGAGAGTATGCAAATATATTATTTTCTTTCGAACTTTTACCCAATATTTTGATATCTATTGATAAATCTTGCCTTCAACAACTATTACTGAGATATTGATATAAGGTTTTAAAGAGAACTAAAACATATAAAATGGCCAAATGATTCTTGATACAAAAATACTTAAATTCCACTGAATGCAGCACTTAGTTATATTCAAAATAGATGTCATTTTCTTTTATGTTTTCAATTATTTTTAATAATAACATAACTGAAATTGTTACTTACATAACTATGGCTTTTAAAGAAACTTGATGAACTACTGGTGAGCATTTTGTCTCCTTCCAAACCAATAACTCTTTTACAAATATTTGATTTTGGGTCACTTGGACTTTTTGCAATCACAATGTCACCTCTGAGGGAAAAAGCCAAAGAAATATCAGTGTTATTTATTAAGCACTTGTATAGCATTGCTATAATACTTTTATAAAGCAATTTAAAGCCACACCCTTTATCCTCTCACTGTACTGGCCCTTCCAGACATTTACCAACTTTGAGAACCTCTGTGACTGAATTTTTTGTGTTAGAATCCAAAGATGAGGGTGATGGAAACATTATTAGAAGATTCTAAAATTTCTGATAACTCTGTAAGAATTATCTTCTTTCACTGAATCTATTGTGTTACTTTAGTGTCTGAATTTTTAGCAACGAAACTATGGGAAAACAATTTCATGTAAATAGCACCAAATTAACACATTAAATTTTACTGTCCAGCCAGGAGTTTGATGGACTCTAGAGCACATAAAAAGACAGAAACATCATTTGTTTCCCTAGAGTTTGAAGTAGCAAGGAATTATATAACCCAGGTAATTTAGCAGTATTTCCCAAACTTCTCTCATGATGAGAATCACCTGGTGGAGTTGTTAAAATACAGATTAACCCTTGATTATACAGATTAACTAAGAAGTGCTAAACTAGAATTTTTTTCAAAACGGAGAGAAAATATTTAAGATAAAATTTTATCTAGCTTGTCACTCTTGTATTTACAAGAGAGTTTTTAAAGATAAAGTTAGAAAACTGCAGAAAAGACACAATGTCTATGTGTATTTCCAACACAAATTTAATATATCTATGACAAATATACCTTTGGATACCATAAAAATGTCGACTAAGATTTTCTGCAAAGACAATATCTGCATTTTGAATCGTAGGCTCCATTGATGGTCCAGAACACTGAAAAGACATAATTTTGTAATTGGAGTTGAAAACCTTTTTATATAAGTATAACAAACATCTGAGCAATTGAAAGAAAGAAATTAAGCCAATGTTCTCCATGCTTGGAGGGTGACTAATAATAAGCTGGCAGCACCCAGAGAAGTTCAAATCTATAGAGTGGCCACCAAGTCTGGAGACATAAGCAAATATATTAAAAATGGTTTATTGATATTACATTATAATACATGAATAAAATAACAATATCTATGTTTCCAAATCTGGGCCATTCGGTAGAAAGTAAGCTCCAGGAGGCCTGGGACCTTGTCTCTTGTGTTGCCAGGGCTTGGCATAAAGTTGATACTCAAAAAAAATGTTGAATGAATAAGTGAATGATTTATTTTCTTATCAAATCTCAGTGATTTATTAAATGGCATATTATTTGCAATGAGTTGATGCCTTTTCTTCTCTTCCAAAAGAGTAGCTTACCCATTGATGGGGCTGCAACTTATATTTTATGCTGAAAAAAATATTAGCATAATAAGTTGCACTTTAAGACTTCATATTAATATATCTTAAAACAATAATCTCTATATATACCTCAGAGCTATAATAAAGTGATCATTGCTACCTAAAAAGTCTATTACTCCACTTAGGTGTAAATAATTTTTAGTCAAATCTTCCTGCCTAGGCAGAAAATAATAACACAATGAAAGTTCATGTTTGCTACCTCTGTAGCCCATTGGAAATTTTAAAACTCCAAGAAGGGGGTTCTCAGTTAAATATATTTATTTGCTGAATACTTGAAGTTGTATGACTGAATCTGTTAGGCTAAACCTGATGAAAACAGCCACACCACCAACAAAACCCACTAATTAGGCATTAAATCAGTTATTTCATTTACATAATTACTAAAAGGTTAGTACAGTAATGGTTGATAGATTCATAATGCTATATTTAAAAATATCATTGGGGGACATCCTTAACATTTTAATATTGACATAAGACAGAATAATCATTTATTTTAATGACAGTTAAACATAACTGTTAAGAGGAGCAGTTTTGAAAACTGGAGAAAAGTCTGTGTTGAAATTCCAAGTCTAGTTATTAACTGTGAGACATGGACCAAGTTACTTACTAAGCTTTCTGAGCCTCAGTTTCATCATATACAGTGGATTTCTATTAAGTGTCTTCTATATATACAGTGGATTTCTATTAAGTGTCTCACAGAGTGTAAAGATTAAATGTGTTAATAACTGTAAAACATCAAATATAACCCAGAACATTTTAGCATTCAATAAGTGGTATAACTATTATTCTTAGTGTATTAATAGGGCCTTTTGTGCCCTATCAGAAACTGAATACAGAACCATATTTAAAATAATGGTTCTTATATTTTATCAGTGCCAATACAAATACATTCTCTTAAATCCTCTTACATTCTCTTACACATTTAGAAAGATTTGTTTTAACAGTCAAACTTTATTCATTAAGTTAATAACTTCAATTATAATAAAGGGAAGAACACATTTTCCTTCTACTTAAAAAGATATATATTTAGCCGAAACTGGTTTGGCTCAGTGGTAGAGCGTCGGTCTGCGGACTGAAAGGTCCCAGGTTCGATTCCGGTCAAGGGCATATACCTTGGTTGCAGGCACATCCCCCGTAGGCAGTGTGCAAGAGGCAGCTGGTCAATGTTTCTCTCTCATCGACATTTCTAGCTCTCTCTCTCTCTCCCTTCCTCTCTGTAAAAAATATCAATAAAATATATATTTTTTAAAAATAAAAAATAAAAAGATATAGTATAAAATGATTACTTTCTCGAAAGTAAAAACTTACCATGACAACACCACCAACATATTCAAAAACACAATGCGCTATACAGCCATACTGAATAGTATAGCCAGCAAGTCGAAAGGTTTTCCCCAGAACACCACGAAGCATAGTTCTATGTAGACTCTGTCACCATTGGCCTGATGGTAAATTTCAGAAAGTTTCATGAGCAATACTATTTTAAAACACTTAAGTATTTTTATTGTAATATATTTTACAATCATCTAGAATGTATTAAATGAACAATTTAGTGCAGAAAACAACACTTTGCTTTCATTTCTGCTAAAAATATTTTTAAATGACAAATTATAGACACTTAAGTATTTTGATCTACTGAACAGATTTTATTAAAACACCACTAGGTTTATATATGAACTAGAGGATCAATGCAAAGAATTTGTGCAGGAGTAGGCCTTCCTTCCCCCAGCTGCCCTCACTGGCTTCTCTCTGGCACTCGGGACCCAGGCTTTGGAGGCCCCACCCACCCGCAGCAGCCCACAGGCCGGTGCCTGATTCTCCCTCTGCGGGGTGATCATGAGGCAATGGCCAGGCCCTGAACCAATCGCATCGCACCCACCCTGGCTGGCCTGGCACCAGTGGGTGTCATAGCATCATCCCGGATGGCCATCCAGAGGGCCATCGGGATGGTCGTTCAACTGTTCGGTCGATTTGCATATTATGCTTTTATTATACAGAATTATATAAAATTAGATAACTAGTAGACTCAACTTGTCTGTCCCCTTTCATGTCTTGGTTATTTCTTGGTATTAAGGCAGACATCTATAGAAAGATATTAACTCTTGCAAAGTACTAGTAATAGTTTTCCATATTGTTCCCTGCTATCCTACATCAGTTCTTGTCATAATATAATAAAAGAAAGCACTATAATAGATACATGGAAATTCTAGCATTAAATTGGTCCTTTTATTAACTTGTGTGATTGTCAATGACTTACTTAACCTCTCTGGGCCTCCAAAAATGGAAATATTTCACAGAATGGATCTGAGGATCACATTCGATAATGTGAAAGCACTGTGTAAATTATAAAGTTACATTCAGTTGTCAGCTTAACTATTAATATAATAATGAACACATGAATAGAGTAAGATAGTATAAAGAACCATATCAAGTATTTTAAAAGCTATATAAAATTAAAATATTAATAAAATTCATCTAAAATGTTCCTAGTATCTATTATCTCCTTTCTGTTTACCTGTTACAACTACGTTTCAAGTATCCTATCTAATAAAAGAGTAATATGCAAATTGACTCACTCCAACACACAAGATGGCTGCCCCCATGTGAACACAGGATGGCCACCACAAGATGGACAGCAGGGAGGGCAGTTGGGAGGGACCAGGCTTGCAAGGAAGGGCAGTTGGGGGCAATCAAGCCTGCAGGAGAGGGCAGTTAGGGGTGATCAGGCTGACAGAGGAGGGAAGTTGGGGGCGATCAAGCCTACAAGGAAGGGCAGTTAGGGGGGACCCAAGCCTACAGGGGAGGGCAGTTAGGGGCAACCAGGCTGGCAGGGGAGGGTAGTTAGGGATGACCAGGCTGGTAGGGGAGGGCAGTTAGGGGCAATCAGGTTGGAAGGGGAGTGCAGTTAGGCATCAATCAAGCTGGCAGGGGAGTGGTTGGGGGTGATCAGGCTGGCAGACAAAAGCAGTTAGGGGCAATCAGGCAGAGGCAGGCAAGCAGTTGGGAGCCAGCAGTCCTGGATTGTGAAAGAGATGTCCGACTGGCCATTTAGGCCCAATCCCTCGAGGGGTCCCAGATTGGAGAGGGTGCAGGCTGGGCTGAGGAACACTCCCCCCTCCCACATGCACAAATTTCGTGCATCAGGCTTCTATTTTCTCAAATAATGGTTTATGCCTAGGCTACTATGTATTACTCTCAGATTAAAACTACTAAAACACAATAATATTAATTAAAATTTGCTCAATACTTGCTATCTGTCAAGCTTTACAAATTAACCTCTGTAAGGCAGATATTACCATCCTCATTATATAGATAAGAAAAATGAGCCTATAAGTAGTAAACTTGCTGATGAACATCACAAAATTGGAAAATGGAGTCAAGAACTTAATCACTGTTACACTGACTCTCATATTACTCTCCTGCTCCCACAACCGCAATAACTCTGTCATATTACCTAAGCCTCATTTTAGGATCCTTGACAGTAGGTTTGTTATTGGTTGTATATTTCAGATAGTACAAATGAGTAAATATCAGGATTCTCAATGTCAGAGAAAGAAGCTATAAATATAGAACCTTAAGTGAGGTATGAATAGAAGGTATCAAAAGAAATTTATTTAAATAGATATGTTTGTGTTCGTCTGCCTTCCTGCCTATATAAAATACCACCCTAGCCCTTCCACTGAAAGAAGCAAGGGTTCTGCAGTAGTAATAGGCACACTTAGCAGGCAGATTTTTGGTTTCCAAATATCATTTCCCATTAGGAGCAATAGCATAGGGAAGAAAGCAAATCAGTGCTCAAAAATTAATGGAGACATCCAGAATATGTGAATAATTTATCAAGTTATTAAGAAAAAGAAAACTTAACAAATTTTAGCAAAAAACAAACAAAAAACAACAACAACAACAAACCATGAAGATTTCACAAAGGAAGATATCCAAATGGCTGATGAGAAGCATGGGAAAGAGAGGTTGGACTGATGTTAAAACTGAAAAAGCCCTGGCTGGGTGGATCAGTCGGTTGGAACATTGTCCCTACAACAAAAGATTACGGGTTTCCTATCCTGTCAGGCGCACACCTGGGTTGCAGGTTGAATCCCTCATCAGGGTGCATATGGGAGGCAGCAGATCTATGTTCAGTGTTAATGCCTCTCTCTCTCTCTCTCTCTCTCTCCCTCCCTCCCTCCCTCCCCTCCCTCCTTCTCTTCTTCTTTCCCTCCCTCCCTCCCTCCCTCCCTCCTTCCCTCCCTCCCTCCCTCACTTCCTCCAAACTCAATAAAAATATATCCTCAGGTAAACAAAAAACGAACAAACAAAAAAAAAACCTAACTAAAAAGATGGAGCTGAGTGAAATCCTGAAGCTGAAAAGAAACTAGGCATTCCTCCATCCCTATAAGTTTCTAGAATAGGGGTACAAGCCTAAGAGCTTAATTTATATCTATCCATCTTTTGATATTGGTGAAGTGATTTCAGAATACCCTAAGCCCCAAGGAAAACATCCACCTGGTTGTTCAGGTCTGGAATTCCTTTTAAAAAAAGAAAGCATTTTGTTTCAGAAATAGGGAAAAAACGCAAAGTGTCAAAGTTAATTGAGACTATCAGTTTACGGAAATGCATTCATTTTATATTATAAGCAGCCAAAGTGATTAATATCATATTTTTTTGTTTTAATAAGAGGTACAGTTAATAAATATATTAACATTCATAAAATGTTCATATTAGGAAAAGGTGAGGAGAGAGAAGTATATGTGAAGCAGAAGACAAATCCCAACATCGTAGTTTAGCTGTATATACCTTCATTTGGATAAGAAAAAGCAGCAGACTTATGACATTCCTGAGATTCTATGATTTATCAAATTCAAGAAAACCTACACAAAATACATTTTCCCATATAATTATATATAAAGTAACTGAAAGATATATGTCCTTTTCAGACACTGAGTGGAAGTTATTGTGACTAGGAGAGAACAACAAAGACTCATTAAGACATGGATGCTGAGTGATGTACTCTGCTCAATAGCTAAATAATTCACTCACACAGCAGCCTATCAAAGTAATTCAAATTCCTGCCATTTCAAAATCACCTTCAAGGCTGCTCATGAGTTGTTCAAATCCATAATGTTAAATCTACTGTAAGACTGTGCAGAGGGTATTTTTTTTTATTTTCTAGAACTGTAAATTCAAGGACCTCTGATCTCCAAATCTATGAAGATTTTCCTTAAACCTATTTATTTTGATTCATTGCCAGAGGAAATAATTGGCAATCCTTTAAGGTTTAGAGCAGTAAATATCATCTTAAATCTGATTGCAGCATCACAATAACCTGAGAACTAAATTCAAAAATCAAAACTCCTAGGCACCCATCACAGAGCTCAAGAATGACAATCTGTGGGAGAAAGGCTGTAGAATCTGTAAGATACCAGAAAGGAAGGCCAGAAAAAGACTGTGCTGTCATTTGAGGCCACTGAGACATAGTAAATACTTTCAGAAACATGACAAAATTTAACCATCATTGTAAGCTGAATGTTAATGTTGAGATAATTCTATAAATTTTCATCAAATAAACTTTATAATGCTAATATTTATGATTTTTTAAAACCCAATGTTATCTACTAAAGTTTATTTTATATACATATGCATACATATGTAATCAAAATAAAAACTCATTTTATGTTTATAAAGCATAAACTGCTGACACTTTTAATATAATCAAGCGCCAGCTCCCAAAGAGTGGAATAATCCAGGTGCTATATAATCCATGTATCTCAGGAAAATACACAAGTTGTACAAGCAATAGTTAAAGGATATGCATTCAAATGGAACAAATACCATTCAGCATTATGATTGAGAAGGCCTTATATGTTAATAGTGAATTTAATTAAGATGAGTTTATTTGGGACTTTCCAAATGAAACAACCATCTCTAATCAAAAAGAATAATGCCCAGGATAGAAAAAGAAAAAATAATTTTCAAGAGCCATTCAGTAACCAAGTAAATAAAAAGCAGAAAAGTAATCATGTTTAATAAAAACTTAGACAAATTTTGTTTTGAAAGGAAAGCTACTTTTAAAAAATAACTATTTAATACTACTAACTATTCTAGAAAAATATCATGAGAAAATACACTACCTGGAAAAGTAATTTTAGATTACATATAAATCAAATATTTTATATTTTAAAATAAAATTAATTATATTATGAAGACAAGAGAAATATTTTAGACCACTTATTTCATAGATAGATCTTTCATTATGATAACAGAATTTTAAACAGACAGGTTTTCCAGTAGCAAAAATAGAAATAGAAGACTAAAAAAGTCCTTTATAAACTAGCACAATGCAGTTCAGTAAAAATATTAAGCTTTCTCATTCATTAATTTTCAATGTGACAACAACTGAAGAAACACATTTTCGAATACAATAGCTTAGATCCAGTTAAAACAAAATCCATGAAGAATGACAAGTTTGCTAGGTAGGTTTGACCAAAGATCTCTACATAAATTTATTATATTGCATTTATTGATTTTTCTAAGAAAGAAAATATGGAGAACAAAATGTATTATATGTAAACAGAGGCTTTAAATAAATCAAAATATCATTCATAATGGATAATTATATTTTAGTTCTTGTAATTTCAAAAAATATTTTAGTCACCTATATTTAGGTAAGACTTAGAGCCTAAAAACATGATTAAGATTTTATAATCTATTTCTTAAAAGACAAAGCTACTAAATAAAAAACAATAAGATGAAAATCAAGTTCTATGAATATTTTAAAAGTAAGTACTCTAGGATCATAACACTGACAACACTAATTATCTTTTCTTGTCTTGGCAGTTATGTTGCATACTGTTTGGGTGACTGATGGGATAATTTCACTTCATTTTCTCTCAGTTTATTCTGGACTGTGTAAGAGAAAAATATTAAAATAACACCTCTAAACAAAGTACTTGATAAAGCTTTAGTTGAAATAAAATGCTTAAAAAATATAGCTCAATTAATGAATACATGATTTCAGAGCAAATAACTGAATCCCCATCTACTAAAGGAAACTTTGACTAAGAATTTCTGATTTTAGAAAAATAAGTCTATTTAGTATTAATATTATTTTAAGACTTTCACATAGTAAGAGCATACATATACTTTCAGAAAGAGCTCTTTTCATCAGCTAGAATTACTGTAATTATAAAAAATGTGTCTATATATTTTATATCATGAAATGTTTTATTTACTAAAATCATTTAATCAGCAGGAAAAGCAGTTAAACTGTATGAAAAAAATAAATTATTCTGATTCCTTACATTTATACATATTTTACTTAATTTATTGATAATGGCTTTATATCCAAAAGAACACTGAGGTATTTAATTTAATATTTAATCTCAAATATAAATCTTCACCAATAGCAATTATATTACATCACTCAAGTGGAAAAAGTATAAAAAGACATTATTAATCATCACTTCTACTTGAACATTTAAATGAATTTTAATTCATACATAGTTTATAGTTTACATATGTCAAATAGCTAAAGCTCCATATTTTAAATAATTAATAGAAAGCATATTCTTTGCCTTGATCACTTGATTTTTTGTTGTTGTTTATAAAATTAATCACAGTTAGCAGGATAGAAATCGCTTTCAGCTTCATGAATGACATCCAAGAGATGGGAAAGGATTAGTTCTCAGTTGCTGCCAGTTATAGCGCCAGGTGGCTTTTTCTGCAGTGAAGGTGTTACCAATAATCCCATTACACTGGTACTAAATCTTGCAGACATCAAAATTATCACCAAGGTTCCTTTTCATCCCATCCTTTCCAAATGACTGGAAGTCGCTTCACCTGAAAGAAGTCAAATCCACATGCAGCTGCTGTTTTAGCAGGCAGCAAGCTCCCTGAGAATGCCAGTCATGATTCAATTTTGCTGTGCTGGTGGCCCCCTATTCCCTGTCCAATAATACATCTGTTAAAAAATCCTACAGCTACAAATCAAGTTTAATCCTACCGGGGACCTCATGTTGGTCTTGTCTTCCAAAAAGGCAGCAGGTTCTGCTGTCTATCTTGGCCAGCGTCTGGGGAATACCCTTTAAATCCCAGCCCTACTTAGAAGAATAAGCTAAGGATCACAAAACATGACCTCAAAAACCCTGATATGACTATATCCTGACCCAGAGGCATTCATTCTAGGTGAAGATTAGAACTTTGCATAATAAGATTACACAGCAAGTGAATGATATCAAGGGACTATCCATATGCAGCCGCCTGGTTTTCTATAGACAGCCTGTGCTCTGCAATATGCAGTACAGACGAAAGGAGCTTGGTCTTTCTAGCTGAAATAAAATAGATTCACATAAATTAGTTGGCCGTTTCCAGATTCCTAAATCCCCCATTACATCTTTTATTGACAGCTCCTGTGAGGATAGCACAAATGTTATTCCTTTTTATTCTGTGCTTCTATAACAATCATGCTCTGTAATTGAAATGTACATAGATTATGGCTTGAAATTAACATCTTGTTTGCTGTAATCTTGGATTACAATTCACTGTGTACATAATAAAATTAGGAAATCAATGGATGGATTTATCAGCTCCAAAAAACTAGAGGTATTGTTTAAAGAATAGCTTAACATTTTGGGCCAATTCTTTAAATGTAGAAGTCACAGAAAGAAGTCAATAAAAATTTAAGTGAGTGAAAGAATATAAACATCAGTCAACATCTATATAAGCTAGATTACATATGAATTAGCTCAATTCCCTCAAAATTTAGAAAATATGCAAGATTCAGAGATCTCATGAACATATCATTTTCTCTCAAAACCATACTTGAGCAAGGTCAATTACACACAAGGTCTCTACTTTTATAAAGTACAGAAGCAATATTTTATACAAAGTACCTTCATCATTTTGTATTTTAAGATATTTGAATCCATTCAAACCAATGACAATTCAAGGTTTTAGAGTTCTTAACAATATGTTTTTAAAGTATTTAATGAAATAACTTCTTATATTGAAATATATACAGAGCATTTTAAATGTGTAGAATCCTAGAGATATTTAGAAACCAAGAATTTATGTTAAGGTTTTTTCTTCTAAGAAGTTTAAATCTATACCAGCTCTAAGCAAAATTATATGAAAAGAAAGATTCCTATCATTCATGCAAACACAGAAAAATTATAAGCATGCGAAGAGGAATTCTCAACTTTCTAACTTAAAAAAAGTATTGAGATTTGCCGTGGGATTCATGTAAAACTAATCTTCTTGTTATACTTGAAATATGGCTTATATGACAAGTTCTATTTGTCCAAAATTGCTGAGGAACATACCACATCCCTTATATTAGCCATTTTCTCCTTATAATCACAGTATCTTTAAGCATATCTATACAATATCCGTTAAGTACTCAGGAGTCAGGTGACATAATTCTAATTTTGTGTATTAAACAATCAACAGTACTGTGTAACTTCAACTATATAGCACATGTATACTCTTTGATTACCTTGATTAGAATATTATTAAGAAAATAATGAGGAATGCAAAAACTACACATTTCTGTACATGAAATACTTTAGAGCTATACTATTTAATAAAGTAGCCACTAGCTATATATGGCTATTGAGCATTTGAAATGTTACTACTCCAAACTGAGAGGTATTATAAGAATAAAATATACACCGGACTTTGAAGACTTAGTACAAACAAAAGTAAAATCCTATATGATAAAGAGGTGATATGCAAATTAGCCATCATTCCAACACACAAGATGGCTGCCCCCATGTGGTCAAAGATCTTGCCCCCATGTGGACACAAGGTGGCCAGCAGGGGAGGGCAGTTGTGGGCAATCAGGCCAGCAGGGGAGGACAATTGGGAGGGACCAGGCCTGCAAGGGAGGGCAGTTGGGGGCAATTAGACCTGTAAGGGAGGGCAGTTAGGGGTAACCAGACTGGCAGAGGAGAGCAGTTGGGGGCGACCAGGCCTACAGGAAGGGCAGTTGGAAGGACCAGGCCTGGAGGGGAGAACAGCTGGGACAGACCCAGGCCTGCAGGGGAGGGCAGTAAGGAGGGACCAGACCAGCAGGGGAGGGCAGTTGGGGGCTGCCAGGCCTGCAGAGGAGGGCAGTTGGGGGCTACCAGGCCTGCAAGGAAGGGCAGTTGGGGGTGACCCAGGCATGTAGGAGAGGGCAGTTAGGAGTGACCAGGCTGGCAAGAGAGGGCAGGTAGGGGCAATCAGGCTGGCAGGAGAGCAGTTAGGCATCAATCAGGCTGACAGGAGAGTGGTTAGGGGTGATCAGGCTGGCAGGCAGAAGTGGTTAGGGGCAATCAGGCAGGCGAGCAGTTGGGAGCCAGCAGTCCTGGATTGTGAAAGGGATGTCCCAGATTAGAGAGGGTGTAGGCTGGGCAATGCACTGGGCCTCTAGTATTTTATATATTAATTACATGTTGAAAAGATAGTAATTTAGATACAACAGGTTAAATAAAAATATATATATGACTCATATTTCTATTGGAAAGAACTATTTTAGATTACATATTTTAATAAGATATTCTTAATCTAACTAAAATTGTACAACTAATAAAAATACTAAAGTAAAGGGTTATTATGGAAGAACAAAGATTCTAGTGTTAAATCTGGTTGATAGCTTACTAAAGAAGAAAATGTAGTCATTTTAGAATCTATTTCATATCTCTAGCATAAGGGTAGTGAGGAAGGAAGGACTAGCCAAATTACTGACTATTGTGAACAACAATAACAAAAATAATGTTTTATAGTTAGAAAAATGTTTTAGTCCAATAAGCATAGGCTTTTAGAAAAAGTACATCCTGAGCAACTTCATAAAAGACAACTAAGGTCTGTGTATACCATTCATTGAGTCCAATAGACATCAACTTCAAAAAATATGTCTGCATCTACCAAGTGCCATGATTTTTTTTTCTAACATGCTATATAATTATTTATATTCAAATTTTTCAAATACATCATAAGTAATAACTATAGAGATTTGAAGCATTTAGTATATTTCAGAATTTTAGAAAAATTAAAAAGTTCAATTTTATAAATTATTAGAAGGCTGCTTTTCCATTAGTCATTTCATTATCCAGCAATGTAGGTTTAAAAAATTTTATTAACAAAAACAGTTTTACAGAAATAAGGAAAACTGTAGATAATTAAAATATAAAATGTATACCCAATTTAAGTAAAGGAAGTTAATGATAGATTTAGAATAACCGAAGAAAATTGATATTATACAATTAAAATATAAAGTCTATCTTTGTCACACATTGGGAATTTCTATAAACATTAATATGTAAAGTATTAACTCATTCAAAAGTTGCTTTTTCATAATCATTCTTTTACAATATTTATCTAAAATACTAAGTCTGAAGATGAAACACAAGTATCAATAAATAAGATGGATAACATCTAAATCAGTTCTTTATAACCTAGCCATGCCATTTTTTCCTACCATTTTATAATTATCTATTTCTTTCCTTTCCTGGTTATAAGTATCACATATACACACAGATATCGACACACACACACATATAAAAACAAAATAATAACAATAAAAAAACTTTCTAACCGTCAATATATGAGAGCAATGATATCCAGTCTAAGTTAATCCCCAGACATCCACATTCATGAATAAAAATTCATCAGTTTTAAATACACTGAGCCTATTAAGCAAGAACAAAAGCATATGCACAAAAGAGCTTTTAATATATTTCAAAGCCCACAAGAGCCATGGTCTCATTAAAATTATAAATTACACAAACATGGAATGAAGATTCAAACTGCAGTGCAGCTAAGCAGATTACAGAAAACCCCGCGTTCCATATGATAACACACCATGGCCCTCCCAGATGGGGGCTTGGAACAAAAAGGCCATCACCACAGCGAGGGAAAACCTCCTTGTGATCTCTGGTTTCTGTTCAGCAGATGACAGCCAAATAATATGTTGATTATTCTGTTTGTGCTGCTAAGCTTGTAAGATGGAATAAAAGCGATATGATCTATTGTGAACCCAATGCTAATGTGTTGCTCCACTCATAAATAATATACTGGATTTATTTTGAAACTACCTTTTATCTGAATTTCAGTTTTTAAATGCATGAATTAAAATAAAAGCCACAGTAAAATATTATTTAATTTGGTGCGTTAAACTAAGAAATGTAGATGACAAGTGAAAAATATTTAAGTGCTTAGTTAAGAGCCAAGAACTATCACCTTTCTATAATTTCAGCATTGTGATCACAGACAAAATGCATTTTTAAACAGGAAATTTCTCATTAAGAAATACAGACTTAATACAATAAGTTAATAATATACGTTATTGACAAGATAAAAATAAAATATTAGAGTATATAAAAATACTTTTCTGCAATACAAATATTGGCACATAAACAGAATATACGTCTCATATATTTCTGAATAATAAAAAGTATCACTGAAAGCCTTGTGAATGGTTACAACTTATATACAAATGAATGCTCACTCACCTACAATCAAAATAATTAAAAAGAAGCTTACAGAAATAATTCTCAGATTAATAGCCAGCATTTCATATTGCTTTGATGACAAAAGCAATTTTTCCCTCACTGAAATATCCCAAACTTTAACAGAATGAACTATACTTAAATGAGGTAACTGGCATTGTGTCTATAAGCACTTCCCCAAACTTTATATTTCATGGATAAAAATTTTTATGATTACTAGTATTATTTAAAATACTGAAAATCATAACATTTATTTTCCCACCCCAGAAATCCTTCCCTGAATAATCTTGTAAAATTATCTTACAGGCAAACAATATAAAGAAGTACATTAAAGTTACAGTTGAGGCAAAC